CCGGTTTTCGGATCCACAGGGGAACCGACTAATCTAGAATCGAGCCGGGTAGGACTACAAGGGCGGCAAAGCTCTCCCTCAAGAATTTTTAACACTGCTGCATTCCCAGGGCTCGAACACAAGACTACTGGTTAAGCTGGAAGAGACTCAAGCCATCTCATCTAAGCGCTCTTGGGTTACGAGGGGAAAGTTGATTACATTTTAATACTCATGAGTTCGCTAAAGCTCATGCTCGATTAGACTCGTTTATCAAATGAGTTTTGCTCTTTTAAGGCTTGTTGTACTTTGATAAATAACTCAACTCAACAAAAATTAGAGCCTGAACTCCAACTTATTGAATCAAACTAAAAAACACATAATATTTTTATTTTAAGTTTTAACGAGTCATATCGAGTTCGATTTAATAACTGGACTCAATATATCAAGAAAGTGATTCAATGAATAACCTAAGCGATGCACGTTTTGCAAGGTGGGATTTGAAAATATCTAAATCGACCGCTGGCGTTGAGCAGGTGCACTGCACCACCGTACGCTAGCAGCACGGCCTGTCTTGTATTTTAACAACACAGCTTTGGATTCGCCACGTGTCCATATATTATTGGCTGATTTTGTACTCGGCAGTCAATGATTTGACTGCACCCATTTAATTGCTGATTATTTACTTACCGTACGCTGTAGTTACAGATAGGTAAATGGATCTCGAATTTATATGAAATGAGTTTGGATTTTGTTAATTTTTTAGTACACTAAATAAATGATTAATTAAGTATAGTAATATGCGGTTAGTCACCCATCAAATTTGATATAAATACATTTGATATATAATTTATGACAATAACGATTGGTATTAGAGTTGCATTTTATAAATACACAGCAAAATATTAAAAACATATTTATTTATTTTTTTTACTTTTTCACCAATATTAAATTTTTTTTATACTATTATATTTGCTGCTCCGATAATATTATTGATTGTACTCGTGGCCAAACCATATTGCTCCCGTCACGGTATTTAAATGAAGGCAAAATTGCATATAAAAGCACCACCTTTTATGTTTTTGCAATTTAATCACCACCTTTGTAATTTAGCAATTTAATACACAACTTTACTTATTTCTTGCAATTCGAATCACAGGGCCCAATTTCGGGCCTGTTCTGGTGACGTGGCATTTTGTGGTGACGTGGCGTTTCCACGTGTCAATGACGGGGCATCTTTGGGCTGACGTGGCAGTCTATGTCAATTAAGAAAAAAAAATATATCTCTATATATATAAATAGATTTACCATTTTTTAAAAATGGCAGGTCAGTTTTAGTCAAAATCTCTATTTGCATTTATTGCTTTCCTTTAATGGAAACTTTATTTTTTAAAACAAAAAAACATGGATCACATTATTTATAAAGAAATTCAAAAAATTTGTTAGATTGTTATCCCAACAATTGCGGAGTTAACTTTTTTTTAAAAAAAAAAAATTAAAATACACGGATAACAATAACTATAATGAAATGCAATCCAACAAACTTGTTACATTGTTATTCCAAGCGTCTTTTTTTTTTTGGAAAAATTCAAAGGTCTGATAGCGTATTAATTTTAGATAGTATATAAAGCAAAAAAAAAAAAAAATTATCCTATTATCAAGGGATTTATATTTATTAATCGTCACTGTTTTAAAAAAAATTCAAACTTTAGATAAGATCTTTATTTTTTATAGTATATGCATCAACAAAATCCTCACGTGATTAACTATATTTTTGGAACTAATTAACCAAAAAATAATTTTTATCATTTTCCCTTTAAATCAGTTTCACCACCATATAAATATTCAAAAGGCTAACAATTTAACATCTTACACGCATCTAATCAGGCATACTTACAAATATAAAAAATTTGAAATATCAATAATACCAGCTTTCGACGATGAAAATCCCTCCGGTACCATAATGAAATTGAAAGAAACAAAAGATGTTCGTCAAAACTTCGCGCGGTTCGTATGTTTGAGTGCGAGTCTCCAAACAAAGTATTGCAGATACACTTTCGAAGTTGGGATGTATTTTTCTATTTAATTTTTTTTACTATTTCAACTACATACACTATCATTTTGTTTATTCACTAATTTTTTTTATTCGTAGAGCTCACATATCGT